AAATTTCCTCCTTAAGTTCGCCATGTAGAAATGCATTCTTAATATCAAGCTGATGAAAAGACCAAGAATGCATAGCAGCCAAAGCAAGAAAAAGAGATCGAAGACATTTTGGTAACAGGTGAGAAGGTTTCAGTATAATCCTCACCAAAGACCTGTGTGAAGCCGTTAGCCACCAAACGGGCCTTGAGACAAGCAACTTGACTATCTGAATCAACCTTAACTGCATAAACCCAACGGCAAGCCACGGGAGACTTACCTAAAGGCAAAGGCACCAAGTCCCAAGTACCATTAGCATGCAAATCAGTCATTTCATCTGCCATTGCCTGTCGCTAACCTGGGTGAGAAAGAGCTTCACAAAGGGATTTAGGAAAGGAGATGGAAGATATGTTTGACACAAAGGTGTAGTATGTGGGAGACAAATGATGAAAACTAAGAAAATTGTAAATGGGATGAGGATTACGAGAAGAACGAGTACTTCGTCGTAATGGTGCAGGATCCGGCAGGATAGGAGCCGCAGGAGAAGAAGACAATGGCAAGTCTTGAGAGCCAGGACAGTCGATAGACGCTGGTGGAACATGAGCGGTAGAACCATCGGAAGGGGACACTTGCGGGCGAGGACGATGACTATAAACCTGAAGAGGTGGACGCGAAAGAAAAGGAGAAGAGAAAGGAATAGGTAACATGTGGCTGACAGACGGGAACAAAGATGACGTAGAGAAATAAGGTGTTGACTAAAAAAAAGGTAACATCGGCTGAAAAGTAATACCTACGAGTATTAGGAGAGAAACACTTATAATCCTTTTGAACCCTAGAATAGCCAAGGAAAACACACTTCAGCGCACGTGGAGCTAACTTATCCTGACCCAAGGAGTGATCATGCACAAATGCAGTACACCCAAAAATAAGAAGAGTAAATGATATAAAGGATTTTGAGGGAACAACATCTGGTGGGGAATTTTATTCTGGAGAACCGAGAACGGCATGCGGTTGATAAGATAGCAGGTAGTAAGAACAACATCAACCCAAAATCGGAAAGGAACATGATGATGCACAAGCAAAGTATGGGCGATCTCAATTAGGTGGCGATTTTTGCGTCGAGCCAACCCATTTTGCTGAGGAGTATAGGTGCACGCATGTCGCACAGCTGTAAAATAAAGTATCAGTTCCTACGCCACAAAAAAATTACAAAATGCAGTAGTTCGGTGAGTAAGGTCGTCACCGCAGGAAACAGTAACAATATTGAATATTCGGTTATTTATAATTATACTATATATATAAAATGGGAGGGGGGGTTGATTTATCACACTAATTTTGAGAAAAATAAATTCACTCAATTAAATAAAATAAAATAAATTGCAAGACGGTTTACCAAATATAATGAAACTCTAGCATAGACATAAATTTTTCTGTTCGGGATATAAAATTTGTTCATTGACTAAAAATCAAGTTCATTGACTAGTTGGATAAATTGGTTATAGTTGATCTACACGCGTTCACAACCAACTTTTCCTTACTTTGTCGATAGCTAAGGTACGACCGTTAGCTATTTCCCTAATCGAGTGAGAATTCTAGGTACGACTGTAGTTTTATTGACTCGACAACATTAAGTACTAGAAAGACCCAATGCAATTTAACAAAATTCCTACGCGGATTTGTTCAAAATTGATTCTAATTCTTCCCTAGAGTATTCCTTTAGGTTGCTACACCAATTGGAAAATTACACAATTACGGGTGTCAATCTCTAATTTAGCTACGAAACCTCACATCAATACGTGCGCAATAATCAATTTAAGATTTCTAAACTTATACATTAGAAGAATTAAAAATGCCCAATATCGATGAACACCAAATTAAACAAAATCAAGTCTCACAAATTCAATCCCAAACATCGATTCACACCTAAGCTAGAAATGAAATTACTCGGAATTCATAAAAAATGAAAACACAAAACAATTGAAAAAGTTCATCATGCCTTCAATTCTTTAAAAATAGACAAGGAAAAACAATACTAGAATAGAAGAAGAACGCCCCGAAAAATCGTGTGCAATCCTCCTCCAAATACTTTGCTCTCTGCCGCGTTCTTTTTCTCCCTTTTCCCTTTCAAGAAATGGTGTCGTGGTGAAGAACGTGGTAGCCCATTTCTCTCCCCCTTTTCAATTGCAAAAGTGGTGTCTCTTAATTCTCCATCCCATGATTCCCTTTAAATTAGACCCCCTTTGCACTTAAATCCTCACATAATCTTTATATTTCCAATTTATTCCGGAGGATCTTTTTGTAAATTTTCATATTTTCCGCATAGCACTTGTGTGATCACGCCTAAGACCTTTATGCGTTCTGATCATTTTCTCCAAAATACGCCCCAAAACTTGTCAACTCCATGAAACCTATTACACAATAAAAAACACACCATAAGGAGCATATATGCAAAATTCCGCTTCAAAAAGTTATCCAAAATATATCAAAATATTATCATATATAGCACATATCAATAGGCACAAGAGGACTAATGTAAAATACCTTAAGATGACATAAACTGAGTCATAGGAGTAGAGAAGTATTCAGTGGCATTATCCGTCCGAAGTATTTTAAGAGACACGCCAAACTAATTTTGAATTTCAGCATAAACGGTTTCAAATACAAAAAATAGTTCGGAACAAGCTTTCATCAAATAAAGCCAAGTACATCTTGAGAAGTCATCAACAAAGGTAACAAAGTATTGAAACCCAAATACAAAAGTAGTTCGACACAGACCCCATATATCATAGTGGACTAAAGAAAAAGACGTATCAACCCTATTATTAACTTGCCGGGGAAACGAAACGCGAATTTTTTTTCCTAGCTGACACGACTCACAGGTCAATGAAGATAAACTAGGAAGACTTGGAACAAGCCGACGCAACTTAAAGAGACTTGGATGACCCAACTGTGGTGTAGTAGTTGAGGATAACTGGCAGTGGAGCATGCAATTAGAGTGAAGGTGGTGGAGGGTGGTCATTGGTACAGTTCATGGAGCTCAAGTCCTTGCCAATCATCCCTCCCGTTCTGCGGTCCTGAATAGAGAATGAATCAAAGTCAAATGTTATTGAACAGTTCAAAGTTTTGGTTAATTGGCTAACAGAAACAAGATTAAATGGACAATGAGGAATAAAAAGAATGGAGGATAAGGGAACGCACGACAATGGTTGAGCATCACTAACAACCTTAACAGTAACTCGTGACCCATTAGCTAAAGTAACATTAGGTAATGAGGTAGACTTATGAAATTCGGAAAACAATTTTGGATTACCAGATAGGTGATGAGAGGCGCCAGAATCAAGGAGCCATGCTCCAAGAGAGGTACCAGTGTGAGCGATAGAGGCAACGGGTGAATGAGATGACTGCTTTGAAGCTTGGTATGCAAGATACTCCTCATAGTCTAAACCAGTCAAAGTGACAGAATTCCGGGATAACTGAGGAGTTTCAACCTGCGCAACAATAGCCTGAGGTGGCCGGCCATGCAATTTAAAACATTTATCACGAGTATGGCCCCACCTATTGCAATAAGTGCAGTGTGAACGAGTGGTCCTACGAGAGCTTCCATTAGGACTAGGATCACCTCGCATATGTGAAGAAGGTGAAGCTAGTAAAGCAAATTTCTCTCGAGAATTAATAATCGGATATGCTACAAATGAGACATGTAATAAGCGAGAATAAACATCATCAAGAGTTGGAACTGTTGAGCTGGAAAGGAGTTGATTACAAACCGGACTCAAATTTGGACCAAGACCAACTAGTGTACACACCATATAGAATGTATCACGCTGAGCAAACTCCTCTACAGCCGTTTTCCCTGAAGGTAAACTAAATTGAGTTCAGCTTTGATGGATGAAAATTTACCGAGATACTGTGTTGACGAAGATTGACCAAATTAGATACCACACTTTAGAGGCGCTGAATATCATTGGTATATAAAGTCTTCGCATATCTCCAGAGATCATAACAATTTATAAAATTGGTAAAAATTGGATGAAGGCTTGGATCAGCCTTAAGCCCACAGCTTTCTCAGTGTCAACAATATGAGCGGACGAAATAACAAGGTGATTTGCCAAACCTTGACCCATAAACCACATTTGGACAACTTTAGACCAAGAGCCATAGTTAGAACCCCTAACCAATCGTTCGGTAGCAATAGCCGGGGTTGGAGAAAGAACACCCGTAAAAGATGTAGAAGCAGACATGTTTGGAGCAATCTTTGAATTGAAGAGAACTTTATAAATTCATAATCACAAAAGCAACGGAAATCTAAGCCACAACCTAATAACAGTCCAACTTAGGAGAGAAATCCGAACAACCTTAATGGACCGCTAGACCAAAGGAAAGAACAAAGGATAGCGCAGCGGGCGGCGCCGCAGGGTAGGGTGGATGACGGAATCACGGTGCTTCTGATACTATGAAGAATATCGCTGTTATTTTTTATTATTATTATTAACGTCAAAAGAAAGAATGATTTAAAATATACAAAACCCTAATATATTAAAATTATACAAAATACCTAAACTGCCCTCGTACTATTATAAATACAAAAATACCCCTATACATATATCTAACAGGATATAATGTATTTTAAAGAAGAATTATACTTTAAATAGTGCAAAAAAAAGTTTGAAAATTTAAGTTAGCAGCCCCATAGTGTGAGACTTTTCAACGTGCATAATCATAAATATCATCAAATCTTGTTACTTCGGTATTTACTATCTATAAAACATTATATAAAGTTGAAAAGCTGCTGTGTGTTGGTGATTGTTAACTTTTTGGATGTTGGTTATACATGATTGTGGTTACACACACACACACACACACATATATATATATATATTTAAAACTTTGTGTGATTCTGTTGATTGCCAATCAGACGTAGTTGTTTATAATAGATACTGCATGTTTGTTTGTTATATCACAACCATTTGTGTTCTTCTCTAGAACAATCTACACCTGCATTTGATCGTCTTTCTTGTATGTAGGTATCCAGTACAGGCTGGCGATACAATTTGGATGGCGCCCTTTGTACCACAGTGGTAAGTCCTTGCTACATACGAAATCTCTGCTCTGCTCCCTATGAACAAACTCATTTGAAACCAGTTGGTTGACTTTTAATCATTTTCAGGTACGGTGCTCTTGGAAAGACAAAGACGCGCTATTTGCTGTACAAAGATGTCAACAGGAGTCCATTTTAACAAATGAATGCATGTCATCCTAGTTTTAAGGGTATGTACGTTTTGGACACCTTAAGTCATTATTTATAATGTGGTGTTAGATATATGCATGAGAATTAAGGTATGTATGGGTGACTTAGGCTTCCACAAAACTAAACTTCTATTGCAATTTGTGCGTGCAAGTGTTTTGTACGGCGAGGAACTTGGCATGGCTACCTTTCTTTTGCTTTTGCTATCAATGGCCTAATTACTGTTTATTTAATGCTAAATTAAATTATATCCCATTGAGAATGTATGAATTTTATACTTCCTCTATCGTACAAAAATACGCTCACTTTCTTTATATTTTACCAAGGAACTGAGCACATTTTTAAGGAAGGAGATAGTCTATTTCACCTTGTATATGTTTTATTCAACAGACAATCTCCCTACTTTATTATTATTGATTTAGTATTTTGTACAGTAACATATATTGTTTAGTTTTTGTTAAGTGAATGAAACTCCACTTTGTTCCCAAAGGAGATACCTGCATCATCCTGAACGATACAATCATTGATATCGAGAATGAATGCGGGTTTCAGCCTTCTTGTATATTTCTTTCCATGTAACCCGGGGTTTAAAGCAATTGAAGAAATTGTGAACTCATGGCCAGCCCTGCGGTGATTTTGACAGGACCGAAAGGTTGGGCATTTTTTAGAATTTCCAACAAAGTTGATTGAGACTCCGTACTTAGGTGCTGGCCGTGTATCAAGTGCGGGTGCTCCCATATGCTCAAAACCATGCTGTCATGGTTCTCTCTCGCGGACAATAAGGTGTTCAAGGCTGCCCAGTTTTGGTCCGCCTCCGCGGAGTCCTGTTGGAATGTTGGAGTGCAAAAAGGCTAAGTACTATCGCTTCTTGGAATGTACTTGTTGTTTTTACATCTCTATTTTTCCATGCCTCCCTCTCTAATTCACCGTATCAGGAAACTTATCAGAGCATTTCTTTGCCAAAATAATTCTGCCCCGCTTGGTTGGAAGTAGTGGTGGAACCAGAACAATTTTCTATGGGAGGGTTGGAGGTTAAATTTTTTTTAAAAAGATATAGTATAAAAATTTAAATATAGAACAAAGTACTCTACTTACAAAATAAATTACATTTAACCAAATATGCAGAAACAATATTGTCACAATAAAGACAATAAATAAATAAATAAATCCGACTAATAAACTTCGTACAAAATGAAATTCAAATTCAGATTGTCCTTGAACAAAATAAAATATTATTTAGTCAATTAAACAAAATAAAATTATAATATATTATTATTATTATTATTATCATTTATCTTAGTGATGTCATGATAGTCGAGTAATTATATTTTAAACAATTGCAAAATTGTTTCAGTTTCAATACTGACGAAAATGCCTTCTCAATGTAACACACTAGATAGTCTGTATGATAGTCATCTCTCATTGTGTTTCGCAAATTATTTTTGATAATCTTCAGAAAGATCTTTCCACTGTGGCTGTCGTGACATATAAAACCAATGCTAATTCGATTAGTTGATAAATCAAATAAAAAGTCCTCTTACAATTCATTTGAATCATCTTCTGTGCAAGATCTTCAATATCACACAGGCTAATAAAAGTTGGTTTTGATCTCACATAACGAATGAATGTTTGAATATGCCGTTTTAAATATGATAGATTATGCATAGAAAAATCCTTCGAATATAAATCAACAAAATGAATAATCTATTCTTGATCAAAAGTGAAAATATTTGTTAGGATTAAGACATGCTATTCCTATCAAAAGCTCTGACTTTGATTTAGTAAACCAATGATTTATTTTTTGAGAAATAATATTGATCACTTAACATTGTAAAAAAATTAATATTTCATATAATGTAAACTAATACTCCAAAATTTTTTATAATAAATTAAGAATAATAAAATATCTATATAAAAATATTTACTCAAAAATAGTGAAGATGTGTTTCTTTTTAGCCATCAAGTATTCTTAATTGTCCAGGGATGATATCATTCATATTAGAGACACTATTTCTATGATCCGAACAAAACTTAGTTAGTTTTTTGAAAAAATTATTCCAACCCGTTGTTCTAAATTTTTGCAATTCATCTTTCAAAATTGCAATCAATTGCACAAGAATGCCTATATTATGATTCTTCTGTTCCAGTGCTTGTGACAGTGCATTTGTTTAACCAGGGATGACATACTATACCGTACCGTACTGAAAATATCAATACCGTACCGAATTTTTTTGTGTGACGAAAATACATATCAATACCATACCGAAAGTTTCGGTATATCAAGTATTGAAACTTTCGGTTTTAGTACGATGCTGGTATATACCGATTATACTGAAATCTATTTTTTTTAAAAAAAAATCATAAATACACTACTCAGAAAAAAAAATTCACCAATGTTCTAGCAGACGGACGGACTTCGTCTCTGAAAAAAAATGACGGGACAACGAAAAAAGAAGAACAGAAAGCCAAGGAAAAAAAAAAAGAGGAAAGAAAACATGCAGGGAGAGGAAGAAAAAAAAGGAAGGACGGGTTTAGTATGATACCCAAAATTTTCGGCATTTTCAATACGGTACAGTACAATAAATCGATATTTCGGTATGTTCGGTAAATTTTTCAATCCCTAGTTTTACCTAATAGATGCCTCATCAATTGACGTACAAACACAAATTCAAAACTTTCTATCTTGTCAAACAACCACACAACAAGTTCTCGATTTTTCACATCACTGTCATTTGTAGCTATAATTTCAATCATTTCTTTCACTAGATTCCACAAATTAAAAAGTTGAGTGATTGTCATGAAATAAAAACCCCAACGAGTATCACTGGCTCGAGCCAAACTCATTTTTTGATTCATTCCATTTCATGTAGCAATATCATGCACCCAAATTCTATGTAACCTACAAGATCATCAAATTGGCATTGCCTCAATTCATCTTTCCTCTTACACGAAGCTTCAACAATATTTACTATCATAGAGATATATTAAAAAAAAAATTGCTTACGAGCCCATTCTTACTGACACTAGAACTAGAAACAAAAACTAATTAAAGTTGTGCGCAAAACAATGAACATAATATGCATGTTCATTTTTTTTTTAAAATGAGGGCTTTAAGCCCGTTAAACTCTCCACGCATATTAGAAATTCCATCATAACCTTGACTTCTAACCATTGATAGTGATAATCAATTTTTTGCAAAAAAATTCATCAATGGTACTCTACAAAGATTGTATAGAAATGTCAGTAACATGTACAACACAAAAAAATCGCTCTTTAACCTCTCTAACATCATTCACAAACCTTATATTTAAAGACATTTATTCCTTGATAGAAATATCTCGAGTCTCATCAATCAAAAGAAAAAATCATCTTTCTCCAATCTCTGCCAAAATATAATTCCTCACTTCTGAGCCACAAGCATTGATAATTTTGCTTTTGAATATATGGAGACGTCACTTGGTTATTTCATTGAGCATTTAAATCAAATCAACTACCTTTCCAACTTTGTCATTGTTATCACCATACCACTTATAAAGTTCAAGGATTGTGCTGATTCATCATGACCACAGAAAGCTAAGCCCTGCCCTAAAATATGTCGAATCATTTTTACAATTGCGGTAATCGAGTCCGATAAGTATCCTTCATTTCAGATTTTTTTTGCATCATTACATAATCCACATTACTTGTTTGATCTTTATATCCAACACACATAGTTCTAGCAAAATTGTGAGAATTAGTTATTGATATTTGTTGACTATTGAGTTTTTCTCTAACTTTCTTCCGGTTCCTAAAACCCAATTTCAGTAAATGCAGTGTTTTCATGCTTATGTTCATTAGAAAATAAATAACACCATAAACAATATGCAACATATTTAAATATATTGTATTCTAACTAATCATATGTGTTTGAATCATTGATCTTGAAAAGATCTTCGAATCTTTTGAGCGAAAAAATTATAAGTGCGAGGTTGACAAGGACCCTTAGCCAAATATCTTATTCTCAATTATGTTTAAATCCAATCGGATAACTGTCAATCGATTTACGCAATCCGGAATTCGTAATAGTATCATCATATGAAATATCAACTTTTCGTACTCTTTTGTTCTTTTCATTATAATTGTCACTCATATCTTTTGCACCAAATATTTCAATATTTAAATTGAAACGTTTAGGAACTTTAGAAATAAATTTTTCCATTGTATTTTGACTAAATAATAACAAAATATCTTAATTAAAACTTTTCTATCAACTTCACAATTTAACTACAAATTAACTTCAATTAAATTAAAAGCAAATACTATCATAATTAAATTAGATTAAGATATATCTAAATAAATTTTTTATCAAAAAAATTTCACCAAAAAAAAAATAATAATAATAAACAAACAGTGACTTAGAAAGACAGATGAAAACCTATTAAATTAACTTAAAATACATTTATAAATTCTAAAGTAAAAAGAAAAATCATGAAGAAGATAAATAGGATAACAATAACAAGAATATAAATAAATTAAAATTTGAATACTTATAATATATTTACATAATATACGATGATACCACCAAAATCAGCCCCAAATCCAATCCAATAAAAATGTGCAGAGGTGGCCGGTGACGGACGGCGACGAGCGTCGCAGCGGGCGACAAGACAAGAATGGACGGCACCAGCCAATAATGCAGCGGAGGAGAAAAAATCGATTTCCTTTACTTCATCTGTCATCTAAATTTATTTTCATTTTTTTTTCCATCTAAATTTATTCCTTTTTTTTTTTTTTTTTTTATCTTTTACTATTATAAAAAGTAGAAGTTTCTATTTTTTATGTATTGTTATCCCAAAATATTATTTGTAATAAAATTTTATTTGATTTTGAATAATTTATAACATATTAATAGATTTGGATAAAGTAGAATTTTAACCAAATCTAAATTTCTTATTAATAGATTTGGATAAAGTAGAATTTTAACCAAATCTAAATTTCTTAGGCAATAGTATAAATATAAGTAAAGAGCCATATGAAAAGAACTTCCTTTCTTTCTACACAAATTTTAATTTTTATACAATTTATTTTCATTCCCTTCTATTTACTTTCCTTCTTTCTTTGTTTGTTCTGCATTTTTCTTGCTATATTTCTTTTATTTGTTTTTACTTTCTTTTCATTTATCTTTGTCATTTTTTTGTTTTCTTTCTTTTCTTGATTTATTAGTTGCAACTAGATCCTTTTTGGAGAAGCTGGAGAATTTAGCCGATTCGATCCTATAAGCCGTCGAAAAATAGTTTGAGCAACAACATCTACTTTTCTTAAAATCAGTGTCCGTGTTCGGTCAAATGAGCATACAATTGGACGACAGGGTATCTTTTATCAGACTTTTTATTTAATTAAATTATTAATATTGGCCGCGGGGCCAAATTAAATTATTATTACAAGCCAACAATCATAAATTATAATTCATTTACTTAGGCCAATTTGACCATCTTCTTCAAATCAAAATTGCGAACAAACCGGCAATGGCAAGGGAGGGCAGAAAGAGAGAGAGAAGGCTACGACTGCTATTATCAGTGGGATTTGCGGGGCAGAATCAAAGGCGCTGAAAACTGAAATCCGAAATATGATGCCTACTCATAGAAGTTTTCTCTGTTGGCTTGGGGGGCTTCAGCCTCCCCGAATCTCTTGCTAAATCCGCCTCTGATTGGAAGTCTATTTTGCAAGCCAAAGGATGAGGGCTCCTTGCCAAATTCCTTTGGACTCTCCAATCAAATGAAGAATTTCTTTGCATTGGTTGGAAGTCCATTTTGCAAGCCCAAACAAGATAAGGGTTCCTTGCCAAATTCCTTTGGATGAAGAATTTCTTCGGGTTAAATGAATACACCATCAGCTTATTTCGATACCCGGAACTGCTCATTGTGCAAGAGTAGGTTCTTGGACAAGACAAAAATGGTATCCTCTCAGGAATGACTATGAGGACAGTGAATGGACGGACCTTCTTCAGGCCTTCTGGGATTACCCGATTCTTCTGGAAACGAAAGATTGCTCTCTGCCTGCCGTCCTGCCTTTGTAGTCACACTCACACTCAAACTCTACTATATTTGGACGCCATTTTGCCTTAGATCCTAATATTTCTATGGCAGGCAAAAATTAAATTATGCTGCCATCGTATTTTATACACAATAAATCAACAATTCAATTCAGTTTAGGCACCAGCAACACTCACAAGTAACAAAGGGCAGTGAGTGAGTGAGTGTGCCACTTCCCAACAAAACACCAAAGGCAGGCAGGCAGTTAGTCTAGTGAGGCATTAATATGAATGACACGAAAATCGTCTAGAATTCAGACAGCAGAGCAGCCGATAGTTGAATAAAGAGTCGAACCAGAACCAGAACCGGAACCAGAACAACATCATCTATCTCCAAATACAAATACAAATTCAAATTCAAATTCAAACTCAAATTCAAATCCAGTGACATGCATGCATGGTTAAACTTCTTCTTCAACTTGCCTATCTTCTTCTAATCTCTCTCTCTCTCTCTATACAATTTCACAAACAAAGAAAAAGAAAGAAAGAAAGAAAGAAAGAAAGACATCACCTGTCTGTCAGGATGCAGTTTCCATCTCTTAGCTGGCTGGAATTTATTTCCATTGCTGTTAAACAAGTTTTCATCTTCTCTCATTCTCAATCTCGTTCAAGTTGTAGTTGTAGTTGTAGTTGTGGTAGGGCGGGTGGGGTTGCTGCAGGGTCAAGAAACCAGCAACCCTCTGGTAAATTCATGGTATTGCCGGGTTTAAGCGAACAAGAGGGCACCTGGTGTGAGAACCGCACCATCTCTCTTCTAGGAATCCATCGAATTACATCCTTATTCCTGTTTCGTTGGTATACCATCTTAAACCCCTCAACTTGAACCAAAGGCGCTACATGTACACCACCATTCTCTTCCGAATACTCATCAAGAACCTCCACCATCTCATACTGGTGCCTCACTTCACTTGGGGTTGACCGGTTCCAATCCGGAGACCACTTTTCATACATCGCCCAAATATCACCTCCCCTTGGGTAGATTCTCACACAACCCCCTCTTCCCGCCCTCTCCCGGCTCAAAACATGGGAGAATATGTTCACTTGTTCAATTGTCTCAGAATGGAACACTCGAAAATTTCCGCACGATTTGGTAAACCCTGAATCTAACCAATTCACAGATCCAAATTCAGTATCAGTTCTTGCGCTCAAGTAGCTGATATAGATTTTAAACGGCTTCACCGAGATGATACTGCGAATTAGACAATACAAACGGGGCATGCCATCTTCTTCATCGTACAGAGCCCATATCTGCTTTGGATAAAAGCATTCTTCAGCTCTATCCTTGTCAAAATCATGAAAATCGGAATTGGGAACTATCATCGACATGGACATGGCTCTTTTCAGTTCTAATTGTTTAGCGAGCACTTTTTTCTTGGCCTCCGCAGCTGCAGCTGCAGCTTCAGAAGCTAATCTCATTCCATCTAGTTTGGGAATGATTTCAGATCTCGCCTTGTTAATGAGCAACTGTCTAATATCAACTGAAGGGGGAACAGGACTTCGACTGGCCAAAGTGTCTGACTGGGATGAGAGCTTAGGACTAGGATATGGAGTTACATTTCCATGGGTAATTTTGAATTCCACAACGATGTCTGGGGGTAACTCTTCATGAGTCGATTCTACTTTTCTCTTCTTTGCAGGTCTCCCGCGCTTTGATTTAGCCGCTTCACTCTGATCCGTATAAGAATATCCATTAGAGCCAAGGTGAGCTGCAGCCTTCACTGAGTGATCTTTGTCGTGAGTCTTCCTTTTGCCTGATTCATAGAACACAAAAGAATTTGATAATCCATTCGGATCTGCAAAACTGACTGAATTTCCGGATGAGCAACTACCCTGAAACGATATAGTAGACGAGGAGTATTCAGGCCTGTACCCACCGTGACGTCCTGAAGTCCCATTAGGGGGACAATATCCAGCAGTCGAAGAAACAGACGTCATTCCATAACCATGACTACCATAACCGTTATCAGGCATATAAGAGTAATTGGTATTATATGGGAAAGAACCATTTACCGGGGACAACCCAGTCTCAACAGCAACAAAAACACCACGACAGTTCTTGCAAGAAAGCCGCTTGTTAACATACTTCCGCAGATACTCATACTGAACATGACAAGAAGTACAAACTGTCCAAAATGTATCAAGTCTGCTGTGAGAAGACGATAACTTGGAATAGTTATCACAGCCAACAGCCCCAGCATTGTACCTAGCAAAATAATTCCTCCTATGATCATACGAGCTTCTTTTAGCAGCATCAGACAAAATGGTCCATGCCTCAGAAACCAGCCTGAATGCTCCATCAGCTCCAACAGTTTGGTTCTTATCAGGGTGTAGCAGCCCCGCCAACTTCTTATATTGTTTCTTTAATTTAGATCTCTCTGAAGATGGGTCTAGTCCAAGAATCAAGTAATAATCCAGCTCACCATTAAGTTTCGCCTCAGCAGCCATGTAGACTCCAAATGTGGCCACCATTTGAGATATGCCCTCCAAGTCAGGACACAGCATTTGAGCTTTTAAAGCATAATTCTTTGCACCCACAAAGTTTTTCTCGCAATATAGTTTCTCTGCATGCACTTTAGCTCTAACTGCTTCCTCTACGGTGGATCCCATCTCGAGTTTTAGATACGATACCAAAACTTTCTCAAGCCAGGAAACTACATGTGGAGTATGCTCGGAAACAGTTCAAACCACAAAGCAAGCACATCCGTTGTCATCTGTGGCAAAACCTAATTAGATCCTATCCCAACACAATCAATTATAGCTACACAAAGTAATTCCCACTAAATTAAACAAACTATGAAAACAGATCAAATACCAGATGCCAAAACAGTTCTCTACCACTCAAAAATGAAATTATTTCCCCTCTAAAATTCATGCATTGCTGTTCAAATTTATTTCTAAATCAAACAGATCTCTCCAAAGTTAAAACATTGACTTCACACTTGAGGTCCAGCTAAATAATAAACAGGCACAATTCTGTTCAAACTAACCCTAAAACATATCACAATTGCCTATTCAGAAATTCAATCTCAGTCAAACAATTTCAAATTAACTTCAAACCACACTACAATTCAAAAGTATTGCCTATATTCTAGCATAATTTCCCAATAACCCGAAGATCTAGGGCTAAAAAGGGCTAAAACAACAGACCAAATCCAACACAAAATCGGTCTCAAAATACTAATCGAGGAACAACAAAGTACCCGAGATCCGGAAGTCAGAATCACCTCATGACCACAAAATCTTCCGATTCTAAAAAATCAGCTCCAGATCTACCGCGACCGAGGATAAATCTGAAAAAATAAAACTACCATACAAATGCAAATTACTACCACCAATAAAATTATCATCCAGACAAAACTCAACGAACACACGAAATAAACAGGAAACCTCACTCAATAACCAGAGCAGGACCGCGCAGAAGCTGTCCGAGTAGAATATTCCGGCGGCCAAAGCGGCGGAGAAGATCCCGGAGCACCAAAAATAATAATAATAAAAATAAATAAAAATAAATACATATAATACTGTGGAGAGATTATATTTTAAAGTAGTACAACAACAAATACGCAGCGGTTAAAATTCATTATGCTAATATGTATATATAAATAAAATAAATAATCGATAAATTATATATTAAATAGTATAAATTATCTGATTATTATTTATTGTTTATGGTAATAATAATAACAACTATTATTATCCAGTGAAAGTAACGGTTATTAATTAATTATTTAATATGGCAAAAGCTTACCGTGCGCTCAGTGCGTAATACGCACCACGGATGTCCATCGGGCCGGGCCGGCACGTATTGTTCAGGTTTGATTTGGATTGGTTAAATACTACGCTTTATTACTCGGGCCGGGCTGGAGTTACTGTAGCAGACCAGGAGTGATAATGGGCTAAAATGGCCCATTAAACAACTTTTTTTAAACTTAATTTGCCCAAATCTTTTTAAAGATTTCAATTGGACTTAATAAAAGATTACATTTTAGTATCTTATAAATATTATATTAAATTAAATACGATATAAACCAAAATATGAACCAAACAAAGTTTTGTTTTTCAATTATTTTGTTCGTTTTTTTTTTTTTAAACAATTGTTGTAAATTGAATCAAATATAACAATAACAAAAACAAGAAATATTTGTGTTATAAAGGCAACACTAGGCATAGAACTATAACAATGTTCGATAAACTTAATACATCAAAAAGAAGAAATGATATAACCATAATCACTCCCAAGAAGCCTAGTTAACAGGTAGTATTGATTTTCATAAACTTTGCACCGCCGATCTTTATCACCAAAATTCAATTGGTAATGGAATATTTTTGGGAGAAACGCATCCATGGAGGATGTGATATAATAATGGAGAAGAGAAATATGGAAACGTTGATAGATTGCAATAAGAGATTGGATGGAAGTGAATGAACTTTGGAATGGAATCCAAAGAAACAAATGTGGTGTGCGGCGTGAACTCATCCAATTGCCAAGAAAAGAAATCCTAGCAAAAATATATATGTATAGTATATGTATACAAATAATAGAGGACAAAGCTCAAAAAAAGATCAAGAACTAGCCCAAAAGAAATACACAATTCAAAGGCCCATAGAAATATACGCAAAGTCGGGCGCGTAGAGATTGTAGATTGGCCCCACAGGTCAACATTAGTCATTTCAGCGCGCTTCTATCATCATAGACGCGCACCTTGGATGACTTCCCAGAGGGTCCCCCATCCTCACATTCCTCTAGGGCAAACACGCTTAACTCTAGAGTTCTTTCAGTAGGACTCTCGAAAAAAAAAATGACATTATTGACATAAATAGTCTATTCAATCTATTTAACCTCTATTCAACCTCGGGGGTATCACATGCTCCCCAGCTCATATCACTATTCAATTCCGGGGGTATTACATTGTTAGAAGATGTGAATCTAGTTCAAATGATCCCGTAACAAAGATAGTCCCTAACTAAATAACAATTAACTTCAATTTGCTTTGTTCTTTCATGGAAAATAGGATTAGTAGCAATCCGTAGCGCAACAATATTATCATAAGAAAATTCAATCGATAACACACTTTCAACATGTAGGTCCTTAAAAATACCAATTATCCAAATGATTTCAGTGCAAGTTTGAGCAATGACTATATTCAACTTCAGTTAAGGATCTCGAAATAGTGGATTGTTTTATGCTTTTAAAAGACACTAAGGAATTCTCATAAAATACACAAAACCTATCACAAATTTTCTTGAAATAGTGCATGATTTCTAAATCACAAAAAAATTGGTTTGTAAATTCTCAGAACTAGGAAACAATAATCCTTGCCCCGGAGACCCTATAAGTACCTAAGAACCTTTAATGTAACAGAAAAATAAGACTCTCTTGGTTTGCGCATAGACTGGCTAAGAACATCTACAAGAAAAGTAAAATCTAGTCATCGTAAGATATATTAATTTCCCAATAAGTTGTTGATATGCAACAAGGTTTGTGATTAGGGGTTCATCAGCACCCTCAGTCACAAACTTTAGTCCATGTTCCTAACATGAATTGGCTTAAAACCAAGGAGACCAAAAGTCAAACAATAATTAAAGAGTCTATTTTCTTTGCTAAGTATAAGACCAACTTCACATTTAATAAATTCAATTCTCAAGAGATATTGTGTTAACCCTAAATTTTTGATTCAAAACTTATTATGCAATAAATTTTTGAAAACAGTAGCCTTATGGACATCATCACCCGTAAAAAGAAGATCATCAACATACCTAAGAGCAATCAAGGTTAAACCATCACTAACTTTGGTGAACAATGAATGGTCATGAAACGATTAAACAAAGCCAAATTCAAGCATTGCACTCCTTAATTTTTCATCACACTACCTAGTTGTTTGTTTAAAGGCATAAAAAGATTTTTCTAAAAGATTTTATTTTTAAACATCTTGGGGTAGACCTCAGGAGGAATAATATATATTTATTTCATATTATCCCCATGAAAAGAAAAAAAAAAAAACATTATTGACATCTAGTTAAAAGATATTCTACCCTTTAAGAACAATAAAATATACAACACAACAGATTGTAACAATTTTCACATCATGAGAGAAATGTTTCATGGAAATCAAATCTCTCTATTTGACTAAATTATTTGGCAACAAGATGTGCCTTGTATCTCTTAGCACTACAATTAGCCTTATATTTGACTTTAAATACTCATTTCAATCTTAATTGTAATGTCTGATATTGTGGAGTGTATAAAATAATATTTTTATAAAAAATAAATATTTTGATAATATTATTGAGATCAAGAAATTAATATGCTGTAGTAAATTTTATTCTTATTTTATATTTGATTATGATTGAAGAGATTATTAAACGGATAAATATCGATAAAAATAAATATAAAATATAATATATATAATTAATAATAGCATAATATAATAAATAAATAAAGAGAAAATAAAGATGGTGATGATAATAAAGTTAATAATAATAATAATAATAATAATGATGATGTTTAATAATAATAACAATAATAATAATATTATAGGGTTTGTTTCTTTACACTTCAAACCCCAAATTTTTACTATTTAGATTATTCATTCCAAAAAAAATACATTTTTTTTTGTCTCACAAAATATTCCAACATATAATATTTTAATACCAAATTCCAACCAAAATTTTTCCAAACTCATCATAAGAAATATTTATATATATAAATATAAAGATAAAGCAAACCAAACCCATTTTCGAAGAAAGGAACAAGCAAAACGCAAAGAAGAAGAAAGAAAAAATTAGGAAGAAAAAAAAGGGAAAAAGATATAGCTATTCCATTCCAATACCGACTTCGGTAAGAAGAAGAAAGAAAAATGACGAAGAAAAAAAAAAGGAAAAAGATATAGCTATTCGATTTCAATTCCGACTTTGGTATTGTATTCTTTGCTATACGTATAGTTTAATTATAATTTTTAATAAAAATTTGGATATTGGGGTATTAAATTAGAATATCTTTCGGAAATTCATAATTGGCTATTAAGCTATTTAATCGACGAATTTATTTATCTGATAGCCTTATTGTAATTTTAGGATCGTATTTTGAGAATTTCGTATTTATCCAAGCCGAATTGAAAACGGCATTGTACTCCACCTATCTGTGTGTTCATATCTTTAAAGAATTTTATTTAATAACCGAACGATATAAATATTAGGAGGTATAGAGGTTTTATAGCTAAAATATCGTATTATACTAAATATAAAATTTTGAAGCCTGACGAACTTGCAGGTTGTTTATATTAATAAACATATAGCTCATCTGATTTGAGTAAATAATAGGGCAAATGTACGTTAGGGGAGATTTGGATGACATTGCAAAAGCCATAGAGTGTCGATAAGGAGGCAAACAGTAGGACATTAAATCTAATTTTAAGAAATTAGGTATGCATGTGCATTCGATTATGATTATAAGATCATTGTGATATTATATGGATAATTTTTTCAGTGCATGTATATATTTATATATGTGTGAGACCTCATATTTTATGATATTTGATATACATATTTGATCGTGTTGGTGAATATCTAAAAAGGAGAAGAGGTGAGCTATCTCACCAACCATTTTCGGTAAATTCATTTATTTGACATGCTGCACACACATTGCACAGTTTATTGGATATATTTATGGATCTATCATTTATTAACCGTGTTGGTGGTGCTAGGCGAGGGCATAATCTGGAGTTAAAATATTCGACCCTGATGTACCGTAATACTTTGGCGATAGTGGACGAGAGTAGTCGAACAACTAGATGACTTAGTCGCATGGTCATTCAGGGATTAGACCCATTGTAGTTGAGACGTATTCAGGGATTAAGTGTTTTTCCACTCATTAGATTTGCACCTGGTGAGATCTACTGGTACTTTAAGATCATATGTCAAACTTCAAACGTGCTCCTGTTAGGGCACCCGAGGAGGAGTAGAATTTATGGGTTTCTTTTGGGTGATTTCAGGTTTCACGAATTCGACTATATTATACGGAGTAGGGCTAGACAAAAGAGTCTTATCTTTGCTATCACAGATTATGGGGCGTCTTGTGGTTAATGGCGATAATGTTCACCTAATCATGTATTGATTGTGGGAGTCGTATGTGGGTGTATGGAAGTCACTGGATGACCGTTATATTATTATGGGTTTATTAGGTCCTTCTTTGAGCTGAGGGTTTTTCGGCAATTTATTGATAGTGGTATATCGGGCTTGTTATTAGGGAGTTGAGGTTATTTCGACTGCTCACTTAGATATATATTGTGAGCCTATACGAGGCCGAGGTTATTCCGACTTTTCACTTTGACAGATGTATATATATGTGTACATGTGCATGGTTTGTCGAGTTCGACAATATTGTTACATTATTTCACTATTGGCATGACACGACACTTATTTTTTGATTGACGGGGTTAGACTACATTTAAAAAGTATGTAATAACATATTTTATGTTAGTTCTTAAAATTGATTTAATTCTAAACTGCTTTTAAAAAAAATATTTGATTCAGGTATGCATGACACCTCTGGGACAGGTAACGTCTCGGGATATAGAAAGATGGGTTGAGGGAGTGAACTTACCTCTGATGTATTATATACAAATTTTTAACCAGAAAAATCTCTTATTTAGGAGTGTGTTTTGGTAAATATTCATAAATCGGATTGTGTTAAATAATAATATGCTTTTATAGTTAATTTCAGCCTTAACCCTGTATTGTGGGCTTCAAGTAGATGGTGACGACCCCATGATCCAGTGTGGCGGTAGCATTTCTAGTGTGAGCCAATTGGGGGTTGTTACAAGTTGGTATTTTGACGATAAAGCCCGACGAGAGGGTCAATTTCAAAGTGGAGATTTCGTCCTATTGAAAGTATCTCCAATGAAAGGTATTACAAGGTGTGGGATTAAAGAAAAATTGAGTCCGCGATATGTTGGACCCTATGAAATTATCGATCGAGTTGGTGATTGGGCTTATCGGTTGGCATTTTTAATTTCTATGGAATGTATTCTTAGGGTGTGTTTGTTTGGAGGTTTGGATTTTGAATTGGGATTTGAATAGTAAAAATTTTGAATTTGAATAGTTGTATGATGTGATATAAATAGGTGATGATGTGATGTTTTGAATGTAAAATTGATTTTTAGTATAATATAAAAAATGAAAAATAGGTGTTTGATTTGATGTTTTTGGGGGGAAAATTTTGGATGAATAGTAGAATTTTATCCAAATTCATCAAACGAACACACCCTTAATGTGTTCCATGCATCACAACTTCTTAGGTATGTCGGAAATCCTTCTCATATTTATCTCCGGATGAATTAGAGTTGAATAAGGAACTTTCGTATGAAGAAAGACCTCTTTGGATTGGACACAAAAGTTTGAACCATGAGAACCGAGATATACGCATGGTGAAAGTAATGTGGTCCCGACGTGGAGTGGAAGAGGCCATGTGGGAAGTAGAACAAGAAATGTTCAAAGCATGCCCACAGTTGTTTAATTAAGTAGCATTATTATGCGTTTGAATTTAGATTTCGGGGACAAAATCGTTTTAAGGGGGAGTGAATTGTAATGCCTTGATTTCGGAGTGTATAAAATAATATGATTATGACAAATAAATATTTTGATAATATTAATAGGTTCAAGCAATTAATATTCTCGAGTAAATTTTATTCCTATTTTGTATGTCGATTATAACTAAAGAGATTGTTAAACGGATAAATATGAATAGGTATATATATAAAATATAATACTCCCTCCATCCCAAAAAGAAGTATTCATTTGCTTTTTGCACGTAGTTTTAGAAATATTAGTATTATATTGGGATATGGTAGGAATAAAGTAGAAATGACTAAAATAACCTTGTTAGTATGTGTGATATAAAAATAATGACATTTGTGTAATATCACTACCAAAAAAACTGTTTTCTATTACGGCCGGAAAATCGTAACAAAAAGCCATATTTCGTGCAATTTGCGTATTTGCTACGCCTTTGTTACGACTTTTTTCCGTAATGTGTACTCGCGTAACGAATGTTTTTTGCCACGCCACTTTTCGTAACTATTACGATCGGTCAACGCTCCCTGAAGTATGGTATTTGTTACGATGTTTGTTACGAATTTTCTCTCGTAACGAAAGGTAGATCCTTCCGCGCGTGTGGCAGGACTTTTAGTTACGGTATTTGTTACGGAAGTTCCTCGCGTTACAAGTGTTTTCCATTGACCGGTTCTCAGAACTTGGTTTTTGTTACGACTATTTGTAACGGCATTGAACCCCGTAAAAAAAATATTACCTACTTATAGTCACGAAACCGTCTGTAACAACAAATATCCAAAGACCACTTTTTGTAACGATTTTCTGGCCTTTTGTTACGGAAAAATAGCGTATTGTGAAAAACAGGGGGTACGCTGCAATTGAAATTGTTCGTAACAAATGGACCTGCTGTGATGCGTATGATACGAAAATAAATTACGAATACAAAGATTGCTATAAACATCATCATCATTACGCCCCGCGCAAACATTAATTCATATTAAAATCTGAATTCCATACCTACCAACAAAGTAAAGCAACCCATAGAACAAGCCTACTAGTATCTACACATCAACAACCTGTTCCGCAAAACGTGCTTAACAGTTCAAACACAAGTAAACAACGCAATAAGCAAATACGGTTATCCATCAATCCCATTAGGCACATTTTTCACCATACGAATTCAAACCACAAAGGTCTACGCATCAATTCCAGACATAGTTCAACAAAAACTCAACACAATCCATCCAAAGACAGGTTCGACATTCAATCCATATGAAAAACGGGGCAATTAACATGGGTGTATCGGTACCAACATTTCAAGCCCGGCGCATGAGCTGCAATTGCCAACACAGAGATTACTTTAAGTCATACTTCTTATAAATTTCGGAAGGCAATACAAGAAAGGTATTAAAGTAGATCCTTACGTCCTTGTAGCTCCACTCAATAGGATCTTCGCCGACGACATCGCGAAGGGTAGTCGCCCCAGAAATGGTCGGAAAAATAAAGGGTGTGTCCGGGACTGACGCGGATGTCACGAAGACCTTGACCAAGGAAAGTGTGTCACCTACAACATTCACAAGAGCAATTTTTGATTACATTCAAGCATATATATCAACAGACGTTCGAACTGTATATATAACATGTCATAACACAGACATTATAAGTGTAATACTTTGGAACTAGAACAAGAGGAGTACGTACATTCAGACATGTCGTACAGTACATGGTATTACATTCATGAGTTAGGTAGCGAAGCACATTATACCCTAATTTCCTATGTAATTGCAGCTTGATCTTTAAACCAAACATCCTTCAATAAACATGGGTCGTCATAATAGCAGTTATTTTACCACCCCTACATTAACAGTCTACATCGCTTTGGAAATCCACGGATCGTATCATTGTATACTTCTACACTTAGTGAATCCATGCTAATACGCAATATGAGGCCTGAACAGTCACGAAAAGCTACGATATCTCGCTGAGGCATATTAAAAGTTTAATTAAACATTCTCAAAGATACCGGACCAACCTGGCCCAGGGGGGCAGAGCAGAAGTCCCTCTGCAACAACTTTTTTCTCACCGGTGCGGGATAATAGAAGCACATGTGTGCCGACCTACAACAGACAGGGCATATGAAGTTTGCATCACCTGAACCTCCATCCATGCACCCTGTCTCTTCGTCTCCGGTATCTCAGCGAACGTGGGGTAATGTAGAGGAAGTCGAGCTCCGTTGCGTGCAATGACCCCAATGGCTGTCTTGTACTCGTTTACGTCGGGTCCGACGATGCTTTTACCATCCGGCGATGTGAATACAAGCATCCTGTGATCTTTTCCCCATCCACGCGGCATTCGTGCCGCCCCTCTCCCCTGCTTTTTCTTTGACGAACCAGCTGACACAAACAGGAGATTACATGTTCTAATAAGGATATTACATGCAAAATATGAAGTCACTAAATGTAATCGGTAATCTTTGAAGGCTAATTTCCAAACCGTCGTGCGATGTCATCTCGTCCAACGGTGCCATATTGCCCGCCTCTGTTCCTGTCATCAGAGTGGGGTCGGAGCCTGGCCCTTCATCCAAGAGTGGCATATCACTCTCTGCAGTCTCCATGTCCTGCGTCGGCGGAAGTGTCTCGTCATCTGCTTGTGTGGGGGGGATTGTATCATCGTCATCCTGTGTCAGTGCCGTCGGATCAAAAAGTGATGGAACATCCCTATCATCATGTTCCTGTTGGGGTTAACAGTGTCAGCCTATTGTAGTGTTATACTGAGAGTTCAAATAAGGACATGCTTTCGGCAAAGGAACCACATTACCTCCAAAGGGCCCTCTGAATCCTGAAGCACTGCCCTTCGAGTGGAAGATGTTGGCTTCATGCTTTGACCACGAGCATCGCGCTCTTTCTCCCACTCTGATGTGATGGACCGGAGTCGCTGGAGCAGTGGCGAGACCCGAGATCCCTTCCGTTTTGTCACTTTCTTTGTGGGATTGCGGATGGGCGATGGATTCCTGCTTGCGGGATGAGTTGCCTCTAGGGGGCTGTTACGTGCGGATGCCCGGGTAAAACGTCTTGCGGGAGAGACTGCCGGATCCTGTGACCCTCCAACGGCAGCACGTTGAGATTTGCCCATAACCTGCAAGACACCAGTGTTAGTTGGCAGTATGAAAACGTATATTAGGAGAAAATCAAAACACACTTATCACAACAAAGCTTATGAAGTGACATATTACGAGAAATTCACATAATAGTTACTGCAATTAATCAGGGTAAATTGCTTCAGCATACGCAAACGGGGGTAAAGAGCTTATCCGCGTTGACATATTCGGAAAAAATCATAACATCCTGCGCGCGCATAATGGATGCAAAATGCTTCAGCAAATCAAGCGAAAACAGGGCCTATGAACGATGGCATGCATGTCCGAAAGTGGTTACCTATTACGTACTTCAATCACCGACCCCCCCTCCCCACATAGATGACCATCTGTTGAGATGTGTAATTTATTCTGAACTGCGAACTCAAAAAGGTTGCGTGGTTGCCAAACCATCAAAAATGGGCCAATTAGGCTATATTCGCATACTACCAAAAATGCCCGCTTATTTGATTCTGCGCTAAGCACCATCATCTTCGGAGGATTCCTCCGAATCCGAAGGCGAAGTATCGGCATGGTCCATCTGCCCTGCATCTTCTACTACTTGCCCCTCAATACCTTCCCTTAGCCAGTAATCGGCTGCTCCTCTAACATTGCCTCCGTCATCTAAAGGTAACCCTGTGCTGAATCTATGATCGATCGTACTATACACGTCATACGTGTCTCGCCGTGACACCGGAACGACAACGCTCCAACCTTCATCAACCGGGTCTGCAATGTACCACACCTGAGAGGCTTGGGTCGCTAAGATGAAAGGCTCATCCGTGGGCAAGTTCTTGGGGTACATCAAATACTTAAAGTTCACACATTTATATTTGAACTCATCCTCTTTAACGCCCCTCTCCAGATCCACCCAGTCACATTTTAAAAGGAGATACTTCTGTTGATTGCTATAGTACACTTCCACAATGTCCGTAAGAATCCCGTAATATGCCACGGAACCTTCTCGTGGGTTATGGTCCCTAGCTGAGGCATAACTCACTGTATCTGCCGTAACCATAACACCTGCACACTGTGTCCTCTTCCTTGCATCCCGGTCTTGAACACGATAGCGTATTCCTGACACAATGCACGAAGAGTACCGTGTTGCATTGCATAATGGTCCACCCGCCAATGCACGGATCTCCGCTGAGATTGGGCACTCATCATTATTCGTCGGATCATCTACCTACATTTGATGTAAAGTAGTTCATGAACACTCGTGATTTCAATGTTTTTTGGGAGTGTAGTCAAGATACCACGTACGGACGATGTAGGCGGTACTCACATATGATTGAAACCAAGACGCAAATTGTTCGTTGTGCTGCTGGTGCACCTCACGTGGGGGTGCGCGAGTTCGACATGACCTAATAGTATCAAGGTGAATCCTACAGTGCAAAAATAAAAGTCGAAGATATTCAACACAGGTCGGATACGCATACAAGTATTGTTAAATTGATGTGAAAAAACCTTCGCAACGGACTGATTTCATCTATATTTCCTAGGATGTAGCAATGAATTTGGTGCATCGTATTGTAATCAAGATTGAACCTAGAACCAAACAATCCTTTCCCGTGTTGTGTCCCGTCCTCCTCCCCTCGAGCAGCCCGGTTCTCTTTGGTCTCTATGTCTCCGAGATATCTTGAGCAGAAAGTCACGCATTCTTCCATGAGGTATCCACGTGCAATCGAACCCTCAGGTTGTGCCCTGTTCCGTACGTACCTCTTCAGAGTACCCAAGTACCGCTCAATGGGATACATCCACCGGTACTGCACCGGACCGGCCACCATAGCCTCCTCAGCCAAATGGATAGGCAGATGCTCCATTACATCAAAGAATGAAGGTGGGAATAGCTTTTCAAGATGGCATAGCGTCAAAGAAATTCTTTCTTGGATTCGCTCCAGTTCACGAACTGTGTTATGAGCTGAGCACATCGAATTGAAGAAGTTACAAAGTTCAATCAACACGAGCACAACATTTTTGGGAAGACACCTACAGGAAGTGTTGAATCAGCACCTTCAGTTATATTTAGAGGAGGCATATATCATGTTAATTAAAATAATTGCGTTTCAAGGGTATACCGTCGGGCAGCAATAGGTAGAATTCGTTGCATAAGAACATGGCAATCGTGGCTTTTAAGTCCCCATATTAGTTGTTGTTCTACCTTCACACGACGCGATAAGTTTGAACTGAACCCATGAGGTGGTCGGAGGTCCTTCAACACAGATAGGAATATCCGTTTTTCGGGGTTACTCATGGTGTACGTAGCTGCCGGCAAATATATAGCGCCCCTAGGACCCGATACCGGGTGTAAAGAACTACGTATTTGCATCAACTGTAAGTCTTTCCTCGTGTTCAGATTGTCCTTTGTTTTCCCCTTAGTTCCCAACAATGTATACAGTACATTCTCACACACATTCTTTTCAATGTGCATCAAGTCGAGGTTGTGACGTACCTCATTCTCAGACCAATAAGGGAGCTGAAAGAATATGCTCTTTTTTTTCCACACCTGTTGCTGCCCGTCCACCCCCCGGCGACGCTTGCGAGACCCCTGTGCAATGCGTTTCTCAATCAAGTCAACCGTACGATACTCAGTAGGCATATCCTGAAGCTGCTGCAGAAGTTCAGCGCCGGTCAAGCGAGAAGGCTTTCCGTCAAAGCTCATCGAACCGTCAAATGCATGTTTATCAAAGCGCATTCTATGCCCAGCCGGCAGGAACCGTCGATGCCCGCAATAGCTATACTTATGTCCATTTTTCAGGTATCTGGAATGAGTTTTTAAACCACAAACAGGGCATGCATTCGCCCCACGAGTCGGCCACCCTGACAACATACCGTAACCGGGAAAATCACTAATAGTCCACAGCAATGCAGCTCGCATCTGGAAATCCTCCTTAGTACTCGCATCGTACGTCCAAACACCATCATACCAAAGCTCCTTAAGCTCATCGATCAAAGGTTGAAGGAAGACATCAATCCGATCCCCCGGGCCATGCGGGCCGTCTATAATCGTAGAGAGGATGAACGATGGTTGCTTCATGCACAGCCACGGAGGTAGGTTATATATCACAAGTACGACGGGCCAAATACTATAACTCACACTCATATTCCCAAAAGGGTTGAAACCGTCAGTGGCCAGACCGAGGCGTACGTTGCGAATCTCCTCAGAGAACGTCGGGTACCGATGATCGAAACTCTTCCACGCAGGACTATCTGCTGGATGACGCATCTTGCCATCGTCTACACGCCCTTCGGCATGCCATCTCATAGAAGATGCAGTTTTGGAAGATACGTACCATCGCTGCAATCGCGGAATTAATGGAAAGTACCTTAACTTCTTCACTGGAGATCTATCTTTACCCTGTGTAAATCGCTTTTCCCCACACACAACACAAACCTCACGGTCAACATCTTCCCCGGTAAACAACATGCAATTGTTGATGCACGCGTGGATAGTCTTGCATGTGAACCCCAAGTCCTTGGTCAGCTTATTAGCCTCATAGAAGTTCTTCGGAAGGACAACATCGTCTGGAAGTGCATCCCGTAACAGCTCTAACAGCAAATCAATAGAATTATTAGACCAGTGGCACAAAACCTTCAAGTGCAAAAGCCGTGCGATAAACGAGAGTCTACTCATCTTCTTGCACCCTGGTATGAGCTCTTTCTCTACATCTTCTAACATCTTTCTATACCCCTTACTGCCATGATGTATATGTTCATTTTCGTCATCCCTATGAGGTTCATTTCCACTGGGCCCCGGATCGGTGTGCTCTGTATATGCACACTCTCGCAATAGAAGTTCTAGTTCCTCCTCCTAACGCATTGGCATATTGTCGTTTGCAACAGCAGGGTTCACCTCTCCTTCTCCGTGGCAAGTCCAAACCTTGTAGGTTTGGTCGAATCCATAGCGAATACAATGGAGCAAGACATCTCTACGAGATTTTGTTAAGCGATTTCCGCAAGATGTACAGGGGCAATAGATGCAAGATTCAGAGCTACGATCTTTAAATGCGAAATCTAAGAAAGCCCTGACCCCGTCCAAATATTGAGCGGAGATATGGTTCGCATCGTCTATCCAACTCCTATCCATCTAGCAATATAATATACATGCGATTCCATCAACAAAACATGCAACCAAAAACATATAAGTACAACATAACCTTCACCGATATAATAGGAAACATGGATGCTCTTCATGACGCTAGCATTATAATTTATCACAACATTAAGGCACATGGACCAAAATCAGCAGCCCTCACCACTTAAAAATCTTCCATAGATGCAATGTAAATAGTATTATATGGATATATTTCCCGTCACAAATGCTGGGCCGTCACAAATAGACACATCAGCAGCAAGAGAGAGTGAGAAAGAAGTGAAAAAGTTTCTGAAATTGACAAGACATGGGGAGCATGGGGGGGACATCCGTGTGTATGCTGCAACCACTATATCTATCTATCTATCTATCTATATGGGACTGGAAGATGGAGATTGAGATGGAAGACGTGTACTATAAGAATTTTGAGATAGATATACATATATATATATATAGAGGTACAGAAATGGCTCTCTACCCCAATTAGAGGGATACAAATAGGAATAGTACACAGCACCAAAGCCACAAGATTCACTGTATCTGTTTCCACCAAAACTGCATTTGCATCATCTTCTTCTCACATTACTACTCTCGCCCTCATCCTTTACTCTCTACTCTCTACTCCCTACTCTCAATGCAAAGTGTAAATAAGCCCTGGATTTTATCCTTAATTTATAGAAATGCTATAATGAATATATGTATGGGTGACTGTATGTGTATACGCATACTACAAATGCAGGATAACGAAATCTGATAGTAAATTACCTACGATCAGAAAACTGAACTGCAATTCAAGAAGCATGCAACTTGAGGTATTTCGCAATTCATAAATCTTGTTAAATGCTTCCCAACAGCCGAATTAAGTTTCCTGACGTAATGTATTACTTTGTATTCTGAACAAATTAGCAAGAGGATTGAGCTAATATGTTTTAATCTAACATTTAAGCTACCAGAACAAAGAAATACCTCATAAATTTAACATACAGTAAAGCATTGCACTTGGTGTTTAACTATAAATTAAAGATAAATATCAAAAAAATAAATTCAACCAAAAAAACTCTCCTTCTGGACAAAGGAATACAAATTCACCTCAAATGTAACACACGATAAAGCCCAAACAAATGGAGTTAAAATGTAAGACTATATCCATACCGAGAAAGAGGCGAAGAACTTTGGAGTAATACCAAATCTTTCGGGAGAAAACTTAAAAACCTTACCTAGATGCCGGAGTAGATCCCTCGTTTCCGTTGATTTCACAATGCTCGTCGTCCTGCAGGTTCAGAGGAAGGAAACTCGATCGAGTTTTCTACAAGGGAGAAATGAGATTATGCCCTAATTTGTCGAAGATACCTCGCGTAATACAAAATCTTTTTCGAGCTACCTTCAAAACCTTACCTGGGTGAGGTGCGCCGGAGTAGATCCCAGGGACGGATCGATTTCACCTCGCGCGTCGTCGTCGGCAGCTACAGGAAATCGGATCGCGGGCGACTGTGAGAAGCGAACAAGGGAAATGAACCAGATGCCCTAATTTGTCTAAGTGTGGGATGATATAGCGTTTTTGTCCATTTTGATCGTTTCTGGAATGAAAGCGTCAATCCAGTATTTTACTTTTTTTTTTTTTTTTTAATTTAACTTTTCCAAAAATAAAAAATTAAATACCAGTAGTTACGAACACTTTACGTAACTAATGTTATTTTGACCAAATTCTACCATCTCATTATTTGTTACGATATTTTTTGCGTAACGACAGAACCTAAAACGTTGACCGGGTTTTTTTTTTTTCGTCACGGATTTTGTCGTAACTAATATATCTATTTGTTACGATTTTATTGTTACGGACTCTCAACCCGTGGTGAATAGCCCTTTTTTTGGTAGTGTATATTATAAGTTGTAAGGGTATTTGTAATGTTAGGTAGATAGTACAGTTACTAAAAAAGAAAATGAATACTTTGTTATGAGACGGACTAAAATAGAAAAATAGATACTTTGTTATGAGACGGAGGGAGTATATATAATTTAATAATATAATATAATAAATAAAAAAAAGAGAAGATAAAGATGGTGATGATAATAAAGTTAATAATAATAATAATATAATTATATATATATATAACTATAAAGAAAATTATACCCATTTTCGAAGAAAGGCACAAGACGAACGCAGAGAAAAAGAAAGGTGAAAGATGAAGGAAGAAAGAGAAATATTCAACCTTAAAATTTCAATTCCAATTTTGATATTGTATTCTTTGCTATACGTAGAATTTAATTATAATTTAAACTAACGGTGTGTTTGTTGTGGATTTGACTTTTGGATTTGAATTTTTAAATAATAAAATTTTGAATTTAATAGTTGTTTTATATGATATAAATAGATATTGATTTGATACTTTGAATATAAAATAATTTTTAGGATAATATAAAAAAATTACTAAATTTTCCATTTTCTATTTTAGTCTCTCCAATTCATTTTATTTTATTTTAAAAAAAAATAATTCTCAATTAAATACCAAAATACCTTTATTTTTATTTTTCACGTTACTTTTCGAGAGTAAAATGAATATTATATTACTTTGTTACACTTCTATATATATATATAACACTAATTTACCTTAATCTGCGTGCCAAAATCAAATGTGAAGTTTAGCACCGAACGGAAGAAGTAATTTATTTATAAAATGGTTAGTAGCATTTTTTCAGGATATAAGATTTTTAGAAGAAAATAATTAATAAATACGATAGTAAAAGTATATTAATGTGTGAAATGAATATTTAATGATTAAGGACAAAAAAAATAAAAGATAAAGTAAAAAATTATCAAAAATAAGTTCTTTAGTTCCAAAAAGTTGTTTCAAAATGTTAACTTTAAAACATTTAAATAAGTTTTTGGACCGATCAAACAATTAATTTTTTTTAAAAAAGTTAAAAGAGCTATTTTCAAATAGGAACTTATTATGTATTGAATATTATTTTTAATATCAATTAATTTAAATATTACTCAAATTTTGTATAATTGATATACATTATATTCCCTCTGTTCTAGAAGAATAATCTTATTGGGGTTCGACAAAAAAATTAAGAAATATTGATATTATATTGGTAGTTGTTAAAAAGTATGAGTAATTTTATTTATTTTTATTTTTTATTTTATTTTGAGTGTAGTTACGTAAAATGTAGTAAAATTTGTATAATAATAACACTACAAAAAAATTAGTATATTTGTAACGGAATTCCGTTCCTAAAGTTCACGTAGCTAACGTAATTCCATCTCTAATTCCGTCTCTAATATCATTAGTAACAGAAAAAATAAATGTAGTAACAAAAAAATCTCGTTACAAAATTGATAATTTCTTGTAGTGAATAATAATAAAAAAAGTAGTGAATCATGATAGAAAAGTATGACTATTATTTTAGAAGGTAAGAAATAAAATTTAAATGTTTGAAATATAGATCGAAATGTAATATATAATATGTGACTTTTAAAATTTTTAATTATAACATTACATTAAATATTTACAAATTTTAATTATAATAAAATTTTATTAAAATTAATTTGAAATTATAAAATTTTATTTGAGTGTGAAATAAATAATATTATTTTAAATGAAAATGAAATATATAAATAAATAAATATATTATATTTATAGTAAAATATTTATCTCTTCACAATTATAGTATTATTATTTTAATCAATAATAATATTTTTTTTTTACTTATTTTAATATTTTTTTATAGTTCATTAGTAAATTATTTAATTCCTCCTCAAATGATTCTTTGAGATTTTATAGTAGATTAAAAAATAAAAGTATTTTATTAATTAGTGTAAGTATGTAAGATATATTTTAAAATTTTTGCCCTTTAACTTTAACAATTAAATAAAATTTATAATTATATCGTGCATAGCACGACTCCCCCTCTAGTATAAATAAAAGATAAAGAAAATTAAACCCATTTTCGAAGAAAGACACAAGAAGAACGCAGAGAAAAGAAAGGTGAAAGAGGAAGGAAGAAAAGAGAGAAAAAGATTTAACCGTCCAATTTCAATTCCGATTTTGGTATTGTATTCCTTACTATACGTAGAGTTTAGTTATAATTTTTAATAAGATTTTGGATATTGGGGTATTCAATTAGAATATCATTCGGAAATTCATAATTGATTATTTGATTATTTAATCAACGAATTTCTTTAGCTAATAGCCTTATTGTAATCCTAGGATCGTATTTTGAGAATCTTGTATCGATCCAAATTGAATCGAAAACGGAAGTGTATTATACTTGTCTGTTTGTTCATATTTTTAAGGATTTTTATTTAATAATCAGGTGATATAAATATTAGGAGGTATAAGGATTTTATAGCTAGAATATCGTATTCTACTAAATATAAAAGTTTGAAATCCGACGAGCTAATTATAGAAATTAGCTTTTGAATAAGCAGGTAGCTTATATGAATAAGCATATAACTCATTTGATTTGAGTAAATAATGGAGCAAGCGTACGTTGAGGTAGATTTGGGTGAGATTGAAAAACTCAAGGAGCGTCGATAAGAGGTAAGCAGTAGGGAATTAAATCTAATTTTAAGAAATTAGGTATACATGTGCATTCAATTATGATTATAAGATCATTGTGATATTATGTAGATACTTTTTTCAGTGCATGTGTATATTTATATATGTGTGAGATGTCACATTTTATGATATTTAATATACGTATTTGATCGTGTTGGTGAATTTCCGAAAATGAGGAGAGGTGAGCCGTCTCAATAGCCCTTTTCAGTAAACTCACTTATTTGACATGTTGCATACATATTACACGGTTTGTTGGATATGTTTATGGATCTGTCGTTTAGTCGCCATATGTGGTAGTGATAGGCAAGGACATCAACTGGGGTTAGGATATTCGACCCCCATGTACCGTATCACTTTGGCGATAGTGAACAATAGTAGTCGGACAACTAGATGACTTAGTTGCAAGGTCATTAAGGGATTAAACTCATTGTA